AGGAGCAGTAGTAGTCGTCGTCGTCTCAGCAGTAGTACCTGCAGCCGCAGTAGTAGGATGAGAAGATCACTAGTTGGTCGTTGTCGTGGTGGTAAGAATGCTTGAATACAAGCCTCGTCATCGCCGTCATACTGCAGTAGTGCCGTCTTCTATAGGCTACAGACGGAGCAGTGCGTCCCCAAGCTCCGCTTCCTGTAAGTTGCGAGGCGCTGGCGGTGAAACGAGACCCAGAGTCCGGCATTCTGGAGGTTGCCCTCAACAGACCCAAGGCGTGGCATCCGGATTGGGCTTTAGGCTTTGGGTCTTCAGGTGGGATTGAGCACTCTATAGTCACGAATCGTCACGCGTGCNNGTGCTGGCATTCACCAAGTCCATTGCTTCAAAAATGGAGTCTTCATCCCAGGGTTTGAGTTGTATGATTTTGGGACATTTTGGGGATCATGGGGTGGAGGTCCATGTTGGGATCGGGGTGAGGGACCTGACTTGTTTGGCACGGACTATGGCGAGTGGGGGGGTAGTCTTTTTCCGGGGCACTTGAATGAAAATCTGATAAGCTTCTGCAACCCTCGACAACCCTTGAGTGCACACGCCTCAAGTTCTCCAACTTCTCAAAGCCATTCTACGTCGACTGGAGGCGCTCAACGCCTTCAATCGGGCCATGTGGGTGGACCTGCGACGATGTTTCTCGGTGAAGGGTCTTAAGGCTGTAGGCTGCAGGCTTTGGCTTGCAAGGAGTTAGGCATCTTTAGAATTCAGTGATTCGATCTGGGCGATGTTTCTGGTTACAGGACTGAACAGAACATGCACGCGGGGCAGGGTTCCCGGCCTGTCCGTTCAGTTCTTTCGGGTTTGAGTATACGTTATGATAATTACACAGGTCTTGAGGCATTCTTTGGCGTTCAGGGCACGTGGTTTACGACGGAAAATCGCAGACTGCCCACTCCACCATGACATACGGTATGAGACATCCAGAAAACCCTGCGCGTGTAATTGGATGCAAGTCCCGATCGGGTGTCGCCCAAAGGGAACAAAATCTTAAATCCCAATCCTGATCCCCGAACCCCCTAAGCACCCATGACTTTACACTCCCCCGCTTGCCTGAAAAGGCATGGAGATGGCGTCGGATGATCCGGAGACCCGTTGCCTAGCAGCATTTCGAGCGAAGGTAATATTGCATAGTTATTGGGAGTTCGTACCGGCCAGCCCTTCTCGGGTTTAGGATCGATTTCAGTAGGTCGTTTAGTGAGAGAGGCCGGCCCAATGCTAAACAACGACATGTATACAGAGTTCACCTACCCATCAGTATATATCTATATACATATCTATAATATATATATATATACACACACACACACCTGTACATATGTTTGACATATTTGCTCATTAGTGATACGTTTAAGATTTCAGTTTCTGCTTCTGTTCAGATGTACGTATATCTCTACATACACTTACACATGTACGTACACCGTACACACATACACAGACACATACACACATACAGACACAGAAGCATCCACGTATGTACATATGCTTCAGAGTGTGCTTGTACGCTTGTGTTTCTTTTCGGAGAAGTATGCACATGCAGATTCGTTTGCAGATGTCTACAAACATGAATGCACTCAACATCCACATACACGTGTATTTAGTACTGCATATGCGCACATAAATGTGTATATATAATACTCATGCATATATACTTAAACATATGCTTATACACATTGACACATGCATCAACACAAACGTATGCTTTTATGTATATCTTTGTGTTCATACCTCCGTATATAGATATATATATATATATATATGTGTGTGTGTGTGTGTGTACTCTGCAAAAGATACCTTGACCTGCACAAATGCACCTGCGTGCATACACATACATGTTGTAATACATATACCCTTACAGATGCACACACCTATACACATATGCATGCACATACATATATGCTTCAACACGGAAGTGCACATATACATATAAGCTATATGCATGTGCACACGTATACACAGAAGTATACATGTGCGAGTCCATGCATGTGTGCTTGCATGTATACATGCATGTATACATGCACACACACACAAACAGATGTTTCTTGTTTGTTTCAGGACACTATATATTCACATATGGTTGTCATCGACTGTTTGGAGACAGCAACCTGTTTGTCATTAGCGGAGCCTCCAGGGTAAGGTAGCACAGAGCCCAGAGCAGCGCAAATCCTCAACTCCGCTGCAGAGTCCGTCGCGAGAGTCCACAACACCTAAATCCTAAACCCAAGCCCCAATATACGAAGCTGTAAGCCTAGGTTGCGTATTCCTCCATGGTGGTGAGTCGCGGCTCTTCACTGCCGGTTTGGATCTGAAGAGCGAGCATCTTGCCCGGCTAAGTCTCCGGATTTCTAGGGCTTGAATTAGGATTGTGGGGTTTTGATTAGGGTTCAGGAGTTGCAGGGTGCAAGCTTTAAGGTTCTTTTTTTTTTGCATGTCAGTCAGATTTAGGATTTCGGGTTAAATGGGGGCGGAATCGACGTTCATGGGGGGTGAGGTTTATGGCAGCGGGCTTAAGGGTGCTTAAGACTTGCACTAAACCTTCATCCAAGGTGCTTTCGAATCTTCGGTTGCAGTCCCGGAGCCTTTTCAATCCTTGTGTCGTACGATGTGCGTGTTTTGAATCTAAAACAATTTAATTGGATCCTGCAAACAGTGGGTTGTAGCCGTAGCACCCGCTGACAATAAGCTCCAAGCCCAAATCTTTAATCCGAAACCCACTGTGTGTGTGGTTCAGGCTTGGCGGTTTCCCGACCGGCGATGCCACCCTCGACGTTAGCCGCAAGGCCTTTCGAATGGAGCAGGTCATCAAGCGATGCCAAGACGCTTGGGTTGGTTTTAACCCTTTTAAGCTTGAAGCCGCGGCTGGTATGCAGTGGGCTAGTCGGCTAGTATACCATAACCGGTGAATATATCAGTGTAGTAGAATAGCTTTTCATATATTGTACCGAGACCATGTCAGTGGGCTTTCAGGATTGTATGCGCAATATGCGCAGAGGTGTATATGTTGTTATCGGGGAAAGGGCCGTTAATTGGCTGGTTTTTCCGCAGATCCTAATTTCCAGGATTTAGGGTCTGGGTATTCTTCGGCTCCCGGAATTCAAGCGTGCTTGATGTGACGGTTAATTTGCTTGCTCCACTTCAGCCCGCTGCCCTCTCTACGAATGAATTTGGGCTGGGGTAAAACGTGGGCTTGAGGGCTCAGGGTTTAAGCTTTTTGTGGATGTGAGAAGGTTTCGGGTTCAGGGACAGGAAAAAAGTCTTGCTGCGGCCTTAACTCCGTGACATGCACGACATGAATCGTCACCCAAGTAAGCCACAGCTCCGGGCTTGAACTCTGTGACTGCTGCCTCGCCATCTAGATCGCATATCCACGGTACGATCCTGTCAAAGATCATTCGGGGCAGACAGCCTTAATCTATCATTCCAAGCCCCGACACCCAAGGACGGCATTTCAAGCCTGGAACGTTGTCGCAAGCCCGTGGTGGTGGCGCTGCACAGCGGCATCGTTACTTGGAGCATTGTGCTGTGTCTGCTTTGATAAGGGCGTGAACTGCGAACTGCTGAGTTTTCTCACCGACGCATAAGCCCCAACAACCACCACCAGACAATACTCTTAGGCACAAGTTGGGGCCGAAGCCCGCAACCTCCGACTCAAAGTCCCAAACTTGAACCCTCTAAACCCTTTCCCTGAATCCCACAGCTTTTGTGATGGTTCTACCAAGGGCCCCAAAAGTCCTAAACCCAAAGCCCTAAACCGCAAACCCAAAACCCTTCAATTCCCTACTTGCCGCGCGAGAGTGTGAGAGTCGAAACCCTTAAGAGGGGCATCATTCCCTAAGCCCCCCAGGTACCTAATATATAGGGTACTATAGAGCCCCTAGGGCCCTGTATACTAGGTACCTGGGGGGGTTAGGATTGATCCTAAACCCTAGACCCTAAACCCTAAAATGGCAGGTTGGAGCCGGCGTAGATTTGATCAGCGCCTGTGACATCCGCTACTGCACGGAGGACGCTTGGTTCTCCATCGCAGAGGTCCGGATTTACCAAAACTTAAACGGCAAGACCCTATAGAGTCCCTCGAGCCAGAAGAAGGCGAGAATTTCGCGAAGCCCTACGATCACCAAGAATCAGAATGTAGCAACTCATGGGTCCCACCTGATGTTCCAGATCGCCACATCCGCTCCCGGAAAGCCAGGTGAATGTCGGCTTGGCTGCTGATGCCGGCTGGGTGCTCTTCAGAACCTTTTTTTTGTCTTTGTTAATGTGGGAGAGAATACTCGCCACAAGGCATCGCAGATGTTTCGAACCCTTGTCAGAGCTGACTTTGAAATTCACGAAAGTCAGCTCGGGATTCGGCACTACAGTTCAGCATGTTTTAGGCGAGCTGCGAGAAAACACCAACACCTGAACCGGAAGCCCTCCCACCAAGGTTGGGACCTTGCAGAGATTGCCCAAAATCGTCGGCAACGACTCCGTGGTCAGGGAGCTTGCTCTTACGGGACGGCGAATGGGAGCTGCTGCCGCTTGACCGAAAGGATGGGATATTGGGTAACCCTACATCTACTCTCCTTCGTAGTTTCTTTGCCTTGGTTATATCTGGTTTCGATACTCAAACAACAAAAACTGATCAACCCAAAACAAGCCAAACTACATTCGAGGTTATATTCAGACCCTACACCCTCAGTGAATCCTAAACCCGGCAAGGAAGATCTTTGTGACTGAACACGGAACTCCGAACAGAGGGGAAACCTCAGAACTCCATAATCTGTAGCTTGGCGATTAAACAGAACTCCCGGTTTGGGTGCTGTAGGTTTTGATCGCACCAACCCAGAAGACTCGACCCTAGCAGAAACCCAAGTTACCCTTTGTTTCGCTCTACATACGCACATATACCCAGTTCTACAGGCCACAAGGCCTCTAGCTAGTTATTCTGCATACCAAGTTTAGAACGCACTTTGGGGGGTTTGGGCGTTTTAGGGCAGATCGAAGACAGGAGGTCTGTGCTTTCGATCTGGTGTCCAGACACTTGAAGAGATGCGTGCAGCTGTATCGAGTCGTGATTGTATGATAGGCTTGGCAGGCGTGGGATTCATCCCAAGCTTCAAATTCTAACTATACCCCAAAGCATCTCAAGCACTGTACCTTGAGATGCCATAGGAGGCGAAGGAGCTTGGCCTCGTCGGAAAGGTGCTGCCAACCCAGGAGGCCTCACGGGGTTTCAGTTTCTTTGGGCCTTCGGTCGCAATCGGGTCAGCTTTGTCCGGTCTTTCCCAGGAGAGAAGGAGGGTTTAGGGTTTAGGGTTTAGGGTTTAGGGTCTAGGGTTTAGGCTGTAGGATGAAGAGCCGACGAGATTAAGCGCACACCCTCAAACCCTAAACCATAACACCCTAAACCATTTATCCGCCAAGACACTGCAGGCCTCATACCATGGCTCAGGCTGCGGTGAGGGTGTAGTTTCAGGGTTTAGGGGTTTGGATTGGGGTTGAAGGTTTAGGGTTTAGCGTTTAGGGTCTATGGTTTTCTTATAAACCTTCCCAAACCCTAAACCCTAAACCCTAAACCCTAAACCCTAAACAAACTCTTGAAAGGGGTTCGCGCCAGGCTAGGGTGTCAGCCGGCGGGCGGGAGCCTGCCCAGCCACGGGGATTCCTTTTGCAGGCATTTGCGCCGGGGCGACGGGTCGGAGCCGTGGTACGGCGGAGCGTTCCCGCAGCCCCATGGCTCTGATCCTATACATATGTATATATATATATATATACATATGGGTAGTTCTCTAAATTAGGGTCCCTTTTTAGGTCCCCATTATAGTACGGCACCCTTATAGCAGGGACCCCAAAACGGAACCTAATTTAGAGAACTACCCATATACATAATGTAATATATATATATATATGTGTGTGTATGTATATTATATATAATATATTGTATTTTATTATGTTATATATGTATATTTTACATATGCAGCACCACGGGGTTGGAGGGGAACTCTTCTGGCAGAGAGCATCCGCGCATGATGGCAGCTGCCACCGGCAACAAGCCGAAGGAGACTTGAAGAAATGCTTGGAGGACTTTAGGGTTTAGGGTTTAGGCTTTAGGGAATTTCCACCACACTTCATCTTCGAAGACAGAGTGGTTGTACAGTGGTGCGGCGTCTAGTGGATTTTTGTTTTCATGCATTGGGGCTCGGATTTAGACTTCGACGTTATCCTATTACGTGCTTGCAGTATAACTTCATACTGCACCTAAACCCTAAGCCCATAAACAACCCTCAAACCCTGAGCCCTAAACCCCTACCCATAGGCCCCACAGTAGTTCCTTTTTGTGGCTTATATTTAGGATGCTATTAGGTAATCCCAAAAAGGAACTACTATGGGGCCTATGGGTCAACCCTAAACCGGACATGGCTGCTCCGGGGCCATTAGCTGCTGGCCAAGCGCAACAGAGCCCTGTGGCTTTGAAAAACGTAACCCTAAGGGCCCATGTACCCGACTAGTACAGTATATACGTTGGTCCCAAAGTACCTAAAAAGGGACTACCCCGACTAGTATAGTATATACATTGGTCCCAAAGTACCTATAGAGGGACTACTTACTTTGCGGCCAAAGACTATAGGAGTACATGGACCCTTGGGGTAGGCTGTTGCTTGAGCCATAACTCCTAGAACCCTCTTCCTCCTTGAGCCCTGAGAACTGCAAGAACATTTTCCGAACGCTATGAACTATGAACTTGGCTTAGGGGCACTTAGAAATATTTTTTTAAATCTTTGGTTACTATTAACCCTAAGAAGCAGCTAAAATTATAATTTTTTGGTAGGGGTCTAAGTTCAGTATAGTTGGTTGCAAAATAGCCTGAACCCTGAACCCCAAACCCTGAAACCGGAAACCCTAGAGGCCCTCGCCCTGTCATCGGCACTGCTGCCGGGGAACGTGGCCACCCGGCCGCCCGGCTGCAATTCAAGGTGTTTGACGCGAACTTTCTGCCTATAATATGGCTTGTGTACTACTGGGACAGTTCTACATGCATGGAGGCATGCATACATACACAGACTCATATATACTGATGTGTTTGCCTATGTGTATATACAAACACATATACATACACATGCATACACTCATTCATACATGCATGTATGCATACAAACATACATACTTTACGTACATTTATATTTATACATACGTAAATACTTACATACTTATATACTCACGTACTTACATTGCACACATACATACATACATACATACATACATACATACATGCATATAGACATACATACAGACATTACATTACATTACATTACATTACATTACATTACATTACATTACATTACATTACGTTACATTACATTACATGACCTTATTACATTGCATACATGCGTATATACATACATACAGACAGACAGACAGATAGACAGATAGACAGATAGACAGATAGACAGACAGACATATTTGCTTTCACACATACATACGTACATACATACGTACGTACATACATACATACATACATGCACATACATGCATACACACATACATACGTACCTACATACATACATACATACATACATACATACATACACACATACATACACATACATACATATATATATATATATATATATGTAAATTAACATATATATATATATATGTGTTTGTGTACATGTATATATCCATGTATGTACATAAACATGTATACATTCAAGCGATTATGCGTAGAAACACTGTTACATGTCTACATTTATCTATGTATATATATATATATATTTATTTATTTATATATATATACACATACACGCATACATATATATATATACACACACATGTTCACACATACATCCACACACTTATGTTTGCTAGGAATCTTCGCATCGGCAGTAGACGTTGGAGCCAAATCCTAAGCCACCTGTGCAAGGCCTTCAGGTCAGTCTTGGCTCAATCATTCTACGGTTTAGGGTTTAGGGTTTAGGGTTTAGGGTTCAGGGTTTAGGGTTTAGGGTTGGGGTGAACCTCGAAACTCGTACACCCCCTCAGGAGTGCCGTGTTTTCGTACCCGCTGACGACACTGGGTGTGCCAACACTCTGCTACCTGACTGACGATCAGTGGGTTGTTGATTGAGTTAGTGCCCAGCAGTTTAGGGTTTCTGGTTGCAGCGCTGGGAGGTGTAAGGTTTAGTCTACAAGATCTGCCTAACTCTTGAAGTTGCTATCCCCAATCTTCAAGACTCAACCAGAACACTTCATGCCCAGCATGGATTCCCCACACGGGATGTGGAGTGCAGCAAGTGTCAGGCATAATTCGTCTCCTCCCGGCGAAGTTTCTTTCTTTTGATTCCAAAGCTGGTCCACTATGCACAAGGCGTCCGGCGATTGAAGGCTTCCCTGCCACATGCCGGAAAGCCCGAAGTAGTAGCCCCGATTCATCAAGGCTCAGGGTACATGGCGTGTTTCAGGGTCCGGTGTTCGAGAATTCGAGTTTGCGGTGCTGCGCTACGGTTTTTATACGCTCGTGTTCGAAAGCCTCCTCACTATGATGTAAAAAATTCTTGCTTAAAGGATCCTGGGACTTAGTAACTGAGGTTATAAGTAAGCTAACTATACCTATAACTACTTATAACCCCGATTAAGGTAGTTATAACCCTACTTACTAAGTCCCAAGATCCCTAAACCCTAAACCCTAAACCCAAGCCCTGAACCCCCGAGCCCAGATCCGAAACCCCAAAGCCCTAAAGCCTGAACCAACTCCACGAAGGGTCCCAAATCCTTAATGGTGCAGGTTTAGGGTTTAGGGTTTAGGGGTTTAGGGTTTAGGGTTCAGGGTTTAGAGTTTAGGGTTTGGGGGCGTAGGATTTAGGTGTAACAACATCCATTCAGAGTATGGAACTGGGACACTATGTGGGCATTTGGACCCTTTGAGAAGTCGAGCCTCACAAACACCCTGTTCGTTAGGTCCTTTGGACCCTTAGGCAAAAACCCTAAACCCTAAACCCGAAACCCATGGCCCCTACCCTAAGTCCCAAGATCCTCCAAGTAGGCCAAACCCAAACCCCCGAGCCCAGATCCACCTTTCAGGCTTCTGTGCCACCCGTGACGATGGCTCGCGATTCGATGTGCTACGCCTCTCACAGCTATGCTTGAGAAGCAGGAGCCTGTCCGGGGCTTTAGGGTTTAGGGTTTAGGGTTTAGGTTTAAACTACCCAGACCTTCAGTATCCCTCATTTATCAATTAATATGCCTTGAATCATACTAAGGATACTACTATAACACCTTGATTAACTTAATGGTCTATTCCTTAAAAATGGCTACTGGAACGTCTGGGGCCCAAAACCATCAACCCGTAATGCTCTCAAAGAGAAAGAAAAGAAAAACAGTGCGGACCCTAAACCCTAAACCCTAAACCCTAAACCCTAAACCCTAAACCCTAACCCCTAAACCCTAAACCCTAAACCGTAAATCGACCATGTTGGGCTCGGACCTGTGATGTAGGGGCCTGAAAAATTGCATACAGTATTTCTCGGGGTTGCTTACTATAATTATACAAGAACGCACTCCGAAACCCTATTCTAATTACTACTTAAAGGATCATGGGACTTAGTAACTGAGGTTGTAAACAAGGTAACTATACTTATAACCCAATTAGGGTACTTATAACCCTACTTACTAAGTCCCAAGATCCTCCAAGTAGGGCTCTTAAGCCCCAAGCTGCTAAAGTTGAAAAGACCGACCCTCAACCCTAAACCCTAAACCGTGGGGTTAGGGTTTAGGGTTTAGGGTTTAGGGGGTGTGTCCAGGCAGAACCTTTATACACTTCCCAAAGACAAACCTACTTAGAGGGTCGGGTAGCAAGTACCATAGCCGCAATTAGGACCCCTCCTTTTAGGGTGCTTATGAGTCTACATTATTTCCTTAGTACAAAGTCCCCCAACCCTCCAAGTACATACCCACTATCCGAAACTCAAGTCCCTCTTTATTGGGTCCTTTGTACCCTTAGGGGTGAGGGAGTATGTACAGTATGTACCCAGTATCTGGTTGCATCGCTTACCTGCTTTAAGTGGGCTTCGGTGCTGTCAGGCAAAGGCCGCCATCTGAATTTCCATGGGCAGGGTGAACACACAGTAGCATCCCGGAAGCTCTACGCAACCAGTACCCATAGCAAGAAACAAAAGACGAAGAACAAGAAGAAGAAGAAGAAGTAAAGCTTTCGGGATCTTTTT